TTACTTTCATTTGATTCCGAAAATAATTCAGGAACCTTCAAATGTTTTTATTTGATTTTGGGAATTTTCGTCTTTATTTGATTCTGAAAATATTTGCGGGACTCATTCTTTTATGTATTATTATTGAATGTGAAATTTATTTTCTGTTGTTATTATGGGAATTTTCGCATTTTTTGTTTTGTTTTAAGAGTTCGAGAAATTATATGAAATTTCGTTTATGTTCATTTGGTTTCCTGAAATCCTCTCATACTTTTAGAAATTTGCAGCCAGCGGATTATGATTAAAAATTAAGTATCCGATTAACTCTGTGAGTTATCTATTCTACTTATTTTCGTAATAGATAGCAAAACTGAATTTGATGTGAAGAAAAGTATGCTTATTCAATGAAAGTATCAACGTTTTTTGGTTCAACCGAAATTGGTGGCTGTTGACTTCCACCGGTAAATATTGACAAAAAACGCATAGTCACTTTTGGAAAATGTTCGAAATATACATGGTCTAGGTAAGTGCCATTGCCCGGTATACCTTACATTGATGTTTCAGTGCCTCTACCTAGTATACATTTGTCTGGTTTGCATTTAACCGGTATTCCAATGATGTTTCTCCTAATCTATCCTCAGCAGATATTAAAATATGGAATAAATATAATAATATCAACGAATAAATTAATATCAAATAGGATATAACAAATGTTTCCAAAGCGTCTATGTGATTGTTGACATTCAGCGGTGAAAGTTGACATTCTCTTGATTTCGGCCATTCACGAAAACATATATATTACGACTGTTTTTCAGACATTTTGCAACGGATCTATATCAATAATACATTATAAATTTTGTAACCCCGGAAAAGATTATTATTTAATTACAATTAAAGTAAAAGAAGAAAAAAAATTTCACATTTTCAGCACAAATCCTAGCATTTTGTAATATTTATGTATTCCAGAAAAAATCATTATTCGTGGAAATTATAGCTGAAATACTTTGTATTTTTTTTTTCTAAGAATTTTAAAAGCAGTTTAATTTAGATTTTTAAAAGTATATTTCCAGAATTTCTCAGATATGTTCGTAACATAGGTAATAAATTTAAATAAAAAAAAAACTAGTAAAGTTTCAAACATTAATCAAAATTATTATGTGTACTTTTAGGTATTAATAATGTATAACCTATTTCTAAATAGTTTTTTTTTATATTTTAAGTGATTTGTATTACACTTATATTTTTTTATTATTACTAGTAAAATACTGTTTTAGCTTAATAACCTACCTAAGCAAAGTTTTATTAAATACCCAACGAAAGATGCAATGGATTTGAAAGATGTTACGATTAAGCCAGTAACAGCTGCAGTAAATTGAGATAATATATTGCAATTAATTCTAACTTTTTTTAAAACTTATTAAAAATTTATATTATATAAATATATACTTAAAATCGAAAAAAATAGCAAATTTAAAGTGGGCTAGATTAACAACGCTACAGACTACACTATGCAACTTTTGAAATTGTGGTTTCAGTATAACAATTGCAATTTTTTATCATTTACTATGCACCTTTTGTAGTAATTTTTTAATTTTAAAATTTTTGTAAAAATTTGTATTAGAATACAGAAATAAATGAATCAACTGAATTCAGACTTAGTTATACTATGTATTATACGTTTAGTAAACATTTAAGTTTTTTTATAGAAATTCTGAAATTTACTTGAAAGTAAAATTTTATTATACTTACCTAAAAGTTGTTCAAAAATTAAAATTTGTTAATTTTTGTTTGTAGTTGTTGTTGTTAATTTACTTCGCACTAGAGCTGCACAATGGGCTATTGGCGACGGTCTGGGAAACATCCCGGAGGATGATCCGAAGACATGCCATCACAATTTTGATCCTCTGCGGAGGGGATGGCGCCCCCGCGTTAGTAGCCGCGTTAGTTACGATCTGCGCGCGAAGTCGAGCACTTTACGGTAGCACAGTTTAACGAGGACCAATACCGCACATCCTCGGTCCCTACGTCCCTACGCAGACTGATCCAAGTGGTCACCCACCCGCACACTGACCGCAGCCAGTGATGCTTGACTTCGGTGATCTGCTGGGAACCGTGTCTTAACGATCAGTCCACTGCGGGACAATTATTGTTTGTAAAAAATAACTTTTATAACTAAAACACACTTTCATAAACTTTTGCACTCCAAAGCCACCAATGAGGAGACATTATTAGTCACCACTCAAAAATTATAAAATTTTAAACTTTAGTAATTAGTAATTACGTTATTTTAAAAGATTTAAAAATTATTTAAAAGCACTGTATTATGCATTTTAAATTATTTACTGCTTAAATTTGTTGAAATACAATTTTAAAGTATTCAAAGTACAAAGGGTTAATCCATGACATATGTAAAAAAAAAATCTTCATATTCTTTTAAAACTCTTCAATAAAAATAATTCATGTTCTTTTCATTAATTTGCCGACAGTGTCATGCTTCACAGATGCGTAGTAAAGTATTAACTGTAACTTTCACGGTCTGTGTTGTTCTTGTCAATCAAAACGAGTGACCGCAACAAAGTGTGGGCCGCCTTTTTTGAGGGTTGAGAAATTCTGACCGCCTGCTTACAGTTATGAATACCTTCGCTGAGTTTTGCCGTTGAAATGCACGCCCTTAACGAGGTATTTTCTAGATATGAATGCGGTGACAGTTACAAAGAGCTTTGATCGAATTGTCTTTCACCTTTTATAAAGTTACATCATACCTTTTATTTAGATCTATCTGGCTGTGATGACCCCAGGAATTTTGTATCATTCAGCATATCTTTAGTTAAAATGTTAATTAAGCCATGCTGTTATATATTTACGTGAAATCATCATTTAACTTTGAATCTTCTTTAGAATATGAGTTTCACAATATTAATAATAAGCAGCCTAGGTAAAAAATCCTTAAACTTTTCAACTCTTAACCCATTTTCAAAAAAAAATAATTTTATTTATGCTCATAGAGATAAAAAAGAGATATGAAATACTAACGAAGATTAAAGATTGATATTCTTGCACCTATAAAAGATGCGGACCCACTTGCAAGTGGTATGATATAACTATAGATGGAGATAATATATTAGAGTTTGTTATTTAGGCATCCATAAAAATGCGAATATACGTATATCGTAATAGCAACATATACGTGTGACCTCACATGTATAATTCTGTGACCCTATATGTGTATGTACGAGGGTTGTTTTTTAAATAAGGGCAGTTTAAAAATAAAAACCAATGGAAAGAAAATTTTCATGAAGCAAATTTATTTTTTGATTCCTCGTAAATTTACTTACGTTTCTGTTCTTCTTCTTTTTCAAAGTAGATCCGTGATAGCACCGGTGAGGGTACAGGGGATAGAGCGTTCGCCTTCCAATGAGGTGAACAGGGTTCGTATGCCAGCGACGGCTGGTCGATACGAATTCTGCATCCGGAGATCAATGCATCCACGAATTCTGCATTACAGTGGGGACGTAAAATATCCTCAGTGTTAGAGGGATCGTGGATTAGAGTCCCCTGCCGTCAGGCTAATCATGGGAGGTTTTCGTGTTTTTCTTCTCCATGTAACGCAAATGCGGGTTAGTACCATCAAAAAGTCCTCCACGAAGGCAAATTTCTCCCAATACTTGATCCAGGAGTTCCATTCTATTCCGGATTTTGTTCAAAACTAAAAGACTGCGGGTTTGAACATTAGTATCCATAAGCCCATAAAATTGGGTCAACGACGGTTATAAAATTAAAATAAAAACAGTTGCCAAGTTTGCTTAAACACTTATCATACCTTACAACTAGATTTAGAATACCCTCTTCATAGTAACTTGCCGCCTGCTCCGATAACCAAGAGGTTACGACCGTTTTCAAGTCTTCGTCATGGCTGCACTAGTTGGCGCCAAAATGACGTTTGAAACATCGGAAAAGATGAAAATAACTTAGCGCAAGGTCTGTGCTGTATTGAGGGGTGGTCTAAAACTTTCCAGTCAAAAGAGTCCAATAAAGTTCGGGACTAAGTTGTGAAGAGAGTCATTTTCATGGAGTAGCAAAATTTTCTGTCAGCATGCCAGTAGGAAGCTTCGTAAACTTCATAAATGTGCCGATGAATGAATGCAGCAGACAGGTTTTTTGCCGACTAAAAACGCATCACTGACCATACCTCATAGTGTACACAACAATACGGCCCTTACTTGAAAAAAAAGAAAAAAGAAAAAAAATTATCTTCCAATTGAACCTGTTATATTGTAATAGTAATATATTTATGTTGTTCCACATATCTGTAGCACGTGGTTTGTTATAAATATAGATGGAGGTTAAAAATTAATTAAAGATTGATATTTTTGAATCAGTTAAAAATGCTTCCAACCTATAAATAAATAGTAAAATATATAGTCGTCCTGCAATGGACTGATCGTAAAGACACGGTTCCCTGTAGAACACCGAAGTCAAGCATCACTGGTTGCGGTCAGTAAACGCGTGAATGACCACTTTGATTAGCCTGCGTAGGGACCGAGATTGCACGGTATCGGTCCTCGTTAAACTATTCTAGCGTTAAGTGCTCGACTTCGCGCAGGTCGTCGGGCTACCAAAGCAGAGGAGCCATTCCCTCTGCAGAGAGTCAAAACGGCGATGACATGTCTTAGGATCATCCTTAGGGATGTTTCAAAGACCGCCGCCCATAGCCCACTGTGCAGTTTTAGTACAACGTAAATATAGTACCTACCTACCTCAAATCTCATTCGAACGAATAAAACATGGACTAATTTTACGAAAAAGCTTTTATTCACTGGGGGTTCTTAAATACAATTTTTTATTGAAGTTCAAAGTATAAAAAAAATCCTTGTTCAATTGAAACTTAAGTCAAATCTAGTAACTTTCTAACGTGAAAATATGCTTCGATTAATAGGCAAGGTGCAAGTGTGACATCAAATCTTTGCAAAATTAAAAACATTGTTTTAATTCCATGATTTTTTTTTCTTTCTGATTTCCAGGCTTGTTGGTTGTTTGTTATATTTCTAAAAGCAACAGAAGCAACCGATTCTGTTTCAAAACCAAACGATCAGAGCGAAAGAAAAGCTCGTGCCTGGCTCCATCATGCCCACCCGGGTCCCCCAATGCTTCTTCAGCAGCACCAACAGGCACCCGTGTCCACTAGTCTACCAATCGATGCCGCTCTACAGCAGAATTCCAACCCACATCAGCCAAGCGATCCAAATGGTTTGAATCGAAATTATGAAGATCCAGATAAATCTGCAATGCCAGCTGCCTCTGAACAAGATTTCTTGTCCAGACATTTTGGATACTTGAATGTCCACAGATTCGATCCAAACTTTCCATATTATGACAGAAACGTCTTTCCAAGGTAATGAAATATTCAAAATATAAATAAAATGTTAGAAGCCCCAAGACCCACTATTTATTCGTGATCATTTTCATTTCTGAACGATAAATGTATTCTGCCGTGCAATTGGAAAAACAACGTAAGTGCTTCACCATTGATTCCGAGAAAAGTGGCTTGACAGTTATTTTCCTTTCAATTGCTAATGCTATGAAGGCTAAACTAGAATTTCATAAACAAAATTAATTTTTGAAAATTATTTTTTTGCAATATGTAGCTTACTATACAAAGGTTCAAATACATAAAAATCTTAATTTTGAATTTCTTGTCGCTTACGTTAATTTTTCAATAGCACGGCAATATTGTTACGTCAAAATTTTGAAATTATTTTATTAAAAATTCCCAGAAACCTTTCATTTCATTAACGCAGAATTAGTTCTGCCGAATTTGCTACTGATTTTCATTAAGATAAATTTAAATGTAATAAATTTTCTCGTTCACATTGTTATTCATCCTGAAATAAACTTGTTTGTTTTTTTAAAATTCATTTTTGATATCGAAACTTAAAGTGGAAATGGTAACAAATTATCAGATTAATAAAATGATAAATACATAATATTAATAAATAACTATAAATAATTAGTTAAATAAATTAATCTGTGAAACAAATGTTTTGTTGTACTTGATCGTACCTGATTCAAGTGTATGGTTTCAAACCAGAAGTTAATTTTCGCTTCCTTCTTTTGCATTGGAGGTTAACATATCTCCTAATATCCTATGGATCCGATATTTCCGTTTTTATAAATTGAACAATGGCTATATTTTCTTGAACATGAACTCTTTAAATTGTTGTTTTTTTACAGATTTCCCTCTCCTCAACTATCTCCTCACACTCCCAGATTCGGACCAGGTTACAGAAAGGACAAGTATGGACACGGTTATGGCTACAGCTGCAAGCAAGGAGATGACTGCGACGAGGTTAGGGCAGCAAATCAACTCGCTGCTGCCCAACCACCCCCTCACATGACGCATCCTCATCCACACAATCCCGGATTGCCCTTTGGTAACAACTACCCAGAGCTCTCTCCATACCCAAGTTTACCATCTTTTCAAGGAATGTCTTCTTTCTCACCCTACGGTGGACAGTTTGGCCCAGCACCAGCTCGATTCAACGATCCTCAAGGACCACCACCCATGATGCCATCCATGTACCCGGGTGGTCCAAGCAGATTCTACCAAGGGCGGTACTTACACGATGAAGAGCCTAACAATAAAGGTACCCCTGTGAATAACAACAACCAGGAAGCACCTGTGAACAACCCTTTCAAAGGTTTGCCGGTCAATGGAAACCAAAAAAGCGTGCCAGTGAATAATAATTACAAAGGAATACAACAGAGCAGAAAAATTCAGGGTGGTCCAGAAGATAGTCAGAAAACAATTGACGAAAGGAGATAAACTTTTATTTTCTATTGGAACTCAAAAAAATGCATCTGAATTCGTGTGGAAATCACATCGTATCATCATTTTTATAGATTTAAAAAAAAAATGACATTTGAACTTGTTGACAATTGAAGCAATTTTCTGGACACCACAGGAAAACTGTTGTTAGCATAAAATACTAGTACCCTCGGAGTTAAAGGGTAATGGGGGTACTAGGTTATTGAAAATTCTCTCATTTTGATCAATTAATTAAATATAACTAAAATTTAGAGGCGCGCTCTGTAGCTGGAAATTTTTTTTCGCGGTTTAAGGGAAATGCAAATTGATATCGAGCTTTATTCAAGATTGTTATTCAGTCATTTAGATCAATGGACAATTTCAATCAATGGATCAATTCAATCATTTAGAGACACTTTTGTGTACGAAAATATTTCCATAACTGGTTTTAGACAGCGCTATTACTTTTACGCAAAAATTGCAAAACTTTAAGAAAAAAATTCAAATTGAAAAAGAAATCACTGATATGCATTACAAAGAGGTAAAGATATATGAAAATGAGAACTAGAAATACTATAATTAATGACCTTGAGTAAAAAAATTTTTACATTAAAATATTGGCATAGAAAGTGGAAATTTGCCCGAAACTATTTACTTTTTAATACAAATTTTAAGGCTTATAATTAACACAAATTTTAAGGCTTACAAATTATATTGCTATAAAGTATGAATGCTTGCTACTTATCCGTCGGCTTGGTATCAGACGAAACTTGGCGAAATTGCACTGCCACCTTAATCAAAAATTGCCACAACTCATAGAATCATTTTTACATCGTCTTACTTAAAAATTATTCATTTCTTTCGGTAAATTGGGAATGCTTTGTTTCTTCGTCATTATACAATTGCCAAATTGTGAAGTTCACCCTAGCGTTTTAATAAACAATTAGTAAATTTTTCTAAAATAAATAAATAATAATAACCTTTTTTAAAGATAATCTCTAAGGATGCTATTGACATCTTCAAGGTAATTAAGTTTAACCCTTTGACTGCTAACTGCTCTAAATTGAAACGATCGCTGGGGATTAGATATCTTTTCGCGCAATATTCATTTTATCGGTAGTGTATTAAAACATGTTAATATTGTGTATTATATTAACATGTTAATATAATACACAATGCAAATACCATTATTACTTTCATATATATTGTATTTTCAATGTATATAGTTTATTCACCAATGATCAAGTTCTAAAGCAGCATAATTTGTTTGTTATAATATGTGATAATTGAATTTATGAATTTTGGATAGCTGTCAAATTAAACGAAATTTCAATTTTTCTCGTTTCTAAGCAACGAGGTATGACGTATGTTGGACGTATGCGAGAGCAATATATTCAGAACATGCAAACAGTCTTCGCCGAACACTGATGGCTTGCGTGGGTCGCACAAATGCACCAATAGGCCACACAGATGGTTTTCGCTAAACGCATATATACACCCACAGCAGTTAAAGGATTAATCCTAAGTTAATTATTTTGAAACTTAGCGGTCATTTTTGGCTCAGAGATTTACATCTGGCACCCAGTTAGCGGATTAAAACTGAATTATTTACTTTTTTAGACTAAAAAAAAACTACCAAAACGTTCCTTTCATTTCATACGTATGTGTAAAGAAAGAATATAATAGAGTAAGAATCCAACTTAATTTTCTTCGATGGAACTGAGAATCAAATTTGCTTTAAAGTAGCTTTTTTCGCCCAAAACAGAATAATTTTAATTTAAATTAAGAAATACTTCGACACAAACCGGTGTGTTTTCATTAATTTTGATAGAAAAAAAGTAGTAAGTTCCTTATAAGGACTTACTAATTTAAGAAACAATTCAATTACCATAGGCTGTAACAACGCTGCAAGTTTTTTAAAGTATGTGTTTTGGAGCCTTGAAAAGTTTCTGAGCCAAATACAAATACGTAACAAGGTTATAATGTATTGTTTGGTTCCGAAACTTATTATTGCACCAAGGATCATATTTTAAAAACTTGATCTAAAGTTGTCTGGATTACGGTACTAAAAAAGCAACTTACTTTTACTAATATATACAATAAAAATATCCACTCTGTTGGATATTTACTAATACCAATATTAAAAAAAAGATCAAACATAATTTTTGTTTATTATATTATATGTGAATTTATTGTAAAATATTTGTTTGTTTTATTTACCGAATTTATATTTGAATAAGATGAAATTGTATTTGTTTTTAAATAAAAATTTATATGAAACAAAAAATGCTTATGGAACTTATAATGAAACTTGGTGAAGCCATTGAGTAAAACTCATTTCATGGAAAATGATTTGAATTTTGTGTGTTAAATAAAACTAATAAACTCTAAGTGTTGATTTATATAGGATAAATTTGGGTTTAATATTGTATATGGATAAAAGGCTGGAAAAACGGAATTGTCATGAACGAAGCAAAATATGAAAATTAAAACTTAAATTTGTATGTGCTTAAATTTAACTTTGCTAATGAACAAAATGTATGAAAAACATAACTGTCAAAAATGATGCAAAATATGAAAACAAAAACTTAAATAATTTGGCATATAAATAAATTTAATTTTGTAAATGGATAAAATGAATAAAAAAAGGAATTGTTCGCAGCTGCTGGAATTTCTTTGTTAAACTTATGTTTTAAAATATTTTCTTTCTTCGTGGTGATAAAATATTTAAAAATCTCTCTGTCAGAACTTGAGTTTGGAAATATCTTCGCACAAGACATCTAATTGGTTTTAACATTTTTTTAAAAGGCTAATTAAAAATTTTAATTTTATGTTTAGTCAAGGGTCCTAAAATTATAAATTTAAAGTTTGAAAAATTACAAATATTTTTTAAAATAAGGGCAAATTTGAACTTAAAATAAAACATTTTCATGTCACGCTCTCTACAACAGATTGTAATGCATACATTTTAAAATATTTTTTTTTTCTAGATCAATAAAGTGATTACCTGTATTTTGAAATAAAACCTTAAAAAATTTTAAAAGAGAATTAAGTAGAACTAAATATATTGTTAATATTGAATTTTTGTAGAGAAATTCTAAATATTCATACTTAAAACTGGATAAAAATAACAAATTCACGCTTTGTCCTCAGCTTCTAGTTCAAAACATCACTGTGCGTGGTATCAGACAACTATAAAAGCATAAATTTGGTGACGTGGGCCATATGTGCTTCTACGTAATGTTCTTAATTAGGTATAATATAGCCTACGTCACAGGTTGTGTTGTTCTTACTAAATTTAACCCATGAACGGCATTTTCTGCGAGCCTAACTTCAAGCCACAAATAAACAAACGAAGTGTTCGATCGTTTAAATAGCTGCTCGCCAGATTTTATTGCATTATAAAGAAAAGTTATTGAAACTTAATACAACTAAATAAACAACAACTAAATAAACAACAACAACTAAAACAAATAACAACAACTACTAATAACAATAACTAAATAAACAACAACTAAATTCCATTCGTTTAGCATTGCGTCATATGTTGTTCCTACTAAATCGAAGTAGTTGTGTTTTTTCCATATTATACCCAATTGAATTTATCTGACACAGCGAATATAAAATAATTAAATACTTAAATGTGCTCAATAACCATTTTTTTGTTCAAATAGAGCTATAAGTTAGAAATTATCACTGATGTTATCTTAAAATATGTTAAAAACTGAATCGTTTATACTTGTAGTAAAATTTGAAACAATGACTAACGTTTAACCCATCAGATAATAGCATTTCGTTTTTCGTTCATCCCTATTTAGTGAATGAATTAATATTTGAAGAAAAAAAAACGATATTAACATCAAGTTAGACCACTACAAGTTTAAAAAATGTATTTGAACTTGAGAGGATGAATAAAAAGTATTTTATGAAAGATTGAAAATTTGAACAAAATATAGGGAGAGTGTAAACTAATACTAGGAATTGGAAAAAGCAACAACTATAACTTTATTTCCAAAAATCGGAGTTCAAAAATTTAAAAGGTTTTGGAAATGACTTAGAACTTTGCAAATGAACTAATGTTCAAATATAGAAAACGAAAAAAAATCAACAAATAAAATTTTTTAATTTTCTTCGAAATTGCCGATTTTTGCTAAATTAAGATACCTTAGAATTCTTAACAATTTTCTATGTTTTATGTTCTTCAAACTTATCGTATTACAGAAAATATTTTTTATCCCTTGTCCAGAGAATTCGCTCGGCTTAAAAAAACGTAAATTTACAAAATATTTCATGATAATTATAAAAATAGGTATTTTTCACAAATTACTGTTATAATCGTTTAATCTGTATCGAGAAGACAAACACTTGTTTAACTTTTTTTGTGACGGAACTTTTTTCGTTAACTGATTAAAATTTTATAATACTGATTTTGATAAGGATATTTAGAAGTAAAATCAATTATAGCTCCATCATCAGGGATTAACGATTTGGGTAAATTAAGACTTCTTGGACGATAGCAAGGAATATGTTTACGAGACGCCGGTGATTCTTCTTCGTTCGTTGTAAATTTTTGATTCCATCGTCGCCATGTCCAAATCTGGTGCTGATCAGGAATGTAATAGAAGCTGAAATGTGAAATATAAAACGATATAAAAAGTTGAAGCTCTTAAGAGGTGAAGGGATGTGATGTTAAAGATGTTGCTGGATTCTAAATTAGTCTTTTACCAGCATTCCGAACCGTTGTATATGATATGTTACTGTGAATAACCGAAAACAAGAGAATGTCGACTTTCACCGGTGAATGTCAACAACCACATAGTCGCTTTGGTGAAATGCACGAAATATTTGTATATCTGGTTTGATATTAATTTATTCGTTGATATTATTATATTTATTTGATATTTTAATATCTGCTGATGATAGATTAGGAGGTACATTAGTGTTCGGAGTACTGGCTAAATGCATACTGGGAAGTTGCACTTTATCTTTAAAAAATATCGATGTAGGGCAGATCGGGCAGTGTCACTGAACCGTAAAAACCATTGATGTAGGTCATACTGGGTAGTGGTACTTAACTAGACCTAGTATATATTTCGAACATTTACCAAAGCGACTATGGGGTTGTCAACATTCACAGATGGAATTCAACAGACTCCAATTTCGGTCATTCACAGTAATACCAACATTAACACCAAACTATAAAGTATATGTTTACGTACCGATGATGGTGCGAGTGTGCAGAATTCGGTAAATACTCGTGCTCTACTGGTTGACTTTAAAGCTGGGTTCCAAAAAATGCTAAGATTTTGAAGGCAATTTCCACTTTTAGGAGCCATCGTGCTACGTAATTGAGTAAATTTGTTTACTTTTATGGAATCGCATAAAGAAAACTTAACTTTTTAATATAATATTATTTTAATGTAAGCGAAGTAGTCAGAAGAATGCAATTTTAGTCACATAAGCATGATAGGCAATTTTATTCCTAGTTAAAATCACATTACATACTTGCGCAATAATCAAATGTGGGTTATATTTTTTGAAGGAACATACGGATATTTCTCTTTCAAATAGTTAAAATTTAATGAAAATTTCAGATGCAAAATCTAAACCGCTATGGTGATTATATGGCTGTGATTGGTAGATCCACCCTTTCAGAAATTAAATAAAATATTCTTTTGTTACGGAATACATGTCTAACCATGTTTTAATTTTTTTTAGAAATTAAAATTCATCATTAATCTGCAAATATGTTTGATGAAGATTACATGGATATTGAAGCGGAAGTTGTGGATCCCATAGAAGTGGACAATCCGTTTGTGACAACTACCACTCAGCAGATTATAAATGAGACAGCAAAAGTATGCTCTTCAAACTTCAGTACTAATTTAACATTATGTATCAACAGCACAGACATCACAATACGGGCAGATATCAGCTCTTTGGAATATATTATCAGCATCGTTGTTCCCATACTTTTCGGCATCATCGTGGTTGTAGGCTTAATTGGCAACACCTTGGTGGTTTTAGTTGTTGCTTGCAATCCCCAAATGAGATCTACAACAAACGTGCTCATCATTAACCTNCGCCCCCCCCCCCCTCAATTACGTCCCACAACACAGGTCATGTGTTTTTTTTTTTGCTTTGTTTTTCAAAATAGTGTGGGGGCTCCCAAGTTGCGGTACCCTTGCAAGATTTTAAATTCACCCCAGTCACATAATACAGTGAAACCTATAGGAAAGACCACCTCTATGTAACGAATATTTGAAAAAAAAATTGAATTCTATAGAATAATTTTTCATAGAATTTTTTTTTCATAGAAAAAAAAAATTTGCGACAACATTTGGGGGGGGGGGCACGGATTTTTTTTTTCATAGACTTTGAGTTGAAAAAAAAACCTTTAAGACAGACCATTAAAACCTCTCTCAGCGACCGGGGAATCCTTCGCACCGAATGCCAAAAGAGTTAATTAAGGAAACACGAAAAAAATATCAAAACAAAATAAGTAGATCAAAATGTATTCAAAATATTAGTGTGAGGCACTTATTTAGAGAGCTCTTTTGGACGATCTCTGAAAGAGATCTACAACCTCGTGTTGCAGTTAGAGTGCACTAAAGACGATGATTTAATTTTAGTGTTGAAAGTTAAATAAGAAAGTTATTTTAGAAACAACTAAGCTACTCAAACAAACAAGCTTTAAAGCTAATTAATTTTTATGCAATAAAATAGAATGAAAACTTGAACAAAAAAGCATAATTCTTTCTTTATTTAAAATAGAACTATATCTCATATAATTATATCAGTAGGAACTATTTTTATCGATGCTAAAGTTATCCATAGATAAGATAGCATCGATCCGATTTTTATAAATCCAACACAAGTGGCATTTCAGCACCAAAAAATGGTACCAACAAAAATTAAAATCGCTTGCGAAAAATCATGTACCTTCGATAACATTTTGAAATCAATGGAGGTAACCAACCTCCATTCACAATCATTTTACTGTGGAACAGGGAGTGGTCACTTCCGAGAGGTTTTACTATACTTGTCTGCGGTACAATATTAGTAAAAAACATATTATGTTCATAAATGCAATTCAATGAAACAGAAACTATGGAAGCATGTGGTGAGAACTCATATCTGAAATCCATTCCATTACTTTAACAGTATTGTTCGATGTTCTTTCGCCAAAGGAAAATAAGAAAGCCACATTTTAAATGAATTAAACTTTTGGATCAAAGCTATAGTTTTAAATTACATATACCATCTTCTCGTAAATATTTATTTGGACTTTAGACCGGACCAATTACTCAAATTATAAAAAACTTATTGAACTACTCTTTAAAAAAAATCGCCTGTTTGGCGAGATTTTTAGAGCTGTTTTTTTAATTTTATTTCACTATCAATAGAAGAAGTAATTCTCAAGAGCCTCAAATGTTGAAGGATATCTAAATATAATACAATAAAAGTCTATCAACATGAAATAAATAATCAGCTGATGATATATTTGATGATGGCAAAGTTTGATGAGTTTTCTTTTTTCAATGCCTAGAATTTATTTACTTATTTATCTCAAAAGCGATTTTTTATACTTTGAAGATAGCTCCAATTCCAGGCAAATAACTTCAGACATAAAATCAAATCATCCTTTTATTGCATTGTCTTATCCTTAAGTTGAAAGTTTTTCATAACCAAGAGAAGAAAAGAGAGGTACTCTGTAGTAACAGATATTGCTGGTACTGTGGTAGTTTAAGGTCCAGAATCAGGAGCTCCTCTGATGTTTGGCGACAATATTCAATTGTAAAATTTTGCTAAAACTCAGTTTCTGGTTACCATATTCTTTTATTGCTCTCTCTCTCTGCTTTTAGTGACGTTAGCCTCCAGTTACCACAATTTCCATTTACCGTTTTGTTATTGGTTCTTAGTTTACTTTCATATGTATAGGCATGCTTTCATATCGCCAACTATCAGAGGTACCCCCGATACTATACTTTAACCTCCATGCAAACAAAATTCCAACTGCAATTTTTTAAAACAAGCTTCTTCGATAATGATTATAAATTTTAAAAACTAGATGTATTAAAAAAGAAAAAAACTCCATCGAATATCTATATTCATAAAGGAATCCAAAATGTCAAACTACCATACTGTGCACATTAAATTAATAAGCTTATCGATAACTTACCCATCTGCTGCCTTTAGAAAATTGTTTTCCACGGTCGACTGCTAATGAGAAACATTCACTATGATACCTAGACATATTCTCACTCAACTGCTGCACAAGATAAATTAAAATTGTGTTTGCCTTCATAGCTTTTAGATTTCCATGAATGCTTATAAATACCTCCAAATAATCGCGGAAAATAGCTCTTTGGAATGACATGGTAGATCCGTGATCTGATAAACAAGAGATGTCTAAAATAGCGTCACTTTACCTGTTCACTGGAAATCTATCAACGATCAATCAGTAACAGGTTGTAAGGAATACGTTTCTATTGAAATGGGAATATGAATCGTCCAAAAAAAATGGTGCAAACAATTGATAGATTTATTCCACTCAAGTGACAAAGTTCAGCGTCTAAGTTTCTGTCTATATTCAAAAATCGTAAGGACCGCGGACGCTATACTTAGGTGTTCAACTTAACGTTATATTTTGTTTTACTACTCAAAAATTATAAGACTTAAATGCTTGAAATAACGACTGACTGAATAATACTGAAATTTGATATGCTGAAAGAGACATGCCTTTCACAATTATAAATTTAATTAGAGTTTTTTTTTCTCGGCATCCCAATTTGTTCAAAAGTCATTGCACCTCTGAATGCTTTTTCTTTAATTTTTGCACATTTTTTGTTTTTTAGTAATATTAATACAGTGTGCATAGAACAATTTATTTATCTTCTTCAAGATCTTCATTTTGTATACTCGCGCTTGACATATCAAAAGTTTCAAGAAAAAATGCTAGATATAAATATTATCATCATGTACATATCGAAATATATAAAAAGATAAGAGACTCGAGAATGATAAAAGCTGTTTATGTTTTGAACTGTATGCAGTATAAGGTTACTATTACAGATTAACAAGACAAATTACTTTTCATTATTCCAAAGTTTAAAAAAAAATTTCAAGCACATTTGACTATTTTTCAAATCCAAGTAAATGTTGAATAAACATAATTTAATTTTTCTTTTTGTTATGATTATTTCTGAGACCAGAATTTGGAAATCGAACAAATTGCCTTTAAAAGTATTTCGGTTCTTCGATTCTGTCATATTCTGTAAAAAAAAATTTCATATAATCAGAATAAAAATTCGTCATAATGACAATTCACAGTAACAGATGGAAGTGAGAGTGTCGTTATAAGCAAATTCACGTATTTAATGTTAAAAATAGCAATAAAAAATAGTAAAAGATAAACATACAATTTTTTCTCTTTTCCTTCAAACAACTATTTTGATCATGAATACAAATCTGTAGAAAACTATTTTCGCCCAGAAATCATAAGCTAGATCTATAATTTGTCTAAAGTAAGAACTCCACTAGCCAGTCGTCTGGACCCAGGGTGGTGACTATGGTAACGAAGTATAACTGTTTCAAGTAGGGTGTGGTATCACTGTTTAGGGCAGGTTTTGGCTCAGAATCTATTGTGTTAACCCTAGAGTGAAGAGAAGCTACCCTCCATGAAATGCGCTATTCTTGTTTCCATAGCAGCAGATGGCCTCAGACTTTGTGGCGGGGGAGTTCTTTTCGTAGATAAAATATAAAGTGGAAATTTTTGCTTAATGGCACTGAATTAAAAAAAAAGTCGTCAAGGGGAATTAAGACAACATAGTATCTGGTGGTCACCCACACATTTGTTTTATAAACTGTAGTGTAACCATCGTGAATAAAGGTTAGAATGAAAGAGATTGAACTAATCAAAATTATAATTAAACATACTTTTTATTTCAAATTTCTAGATAATCAATAGAAAACTGAAAGTACATAAAATTAATAATTCTTTTGCGCAGAATGAATTCTTAAATCGATATCACAGACAGTAATTGGAAGGAAAAAAAATGCTTAGTTACCATAACTTTGAGGATCATCATGTACACTCTTTTTAATTCACTTTCTCTTCTTGTTAAATACGCAACCCCATCTCCAACCTTTCTCACTAATTTAACTACTTCAATTTTCACTCAATTCTTCTTATTTTTCCAACCTAACTCTTTTCATATCCACTCATTTCTTTCAAAACTAAAGCATTTTAAAAATTGATCCTGAATATTAAAAAAAAGGGAGATTAATAATCCACCCACATTAAACCCCACTGGTCAGAGGTTATCATCAATCCTTTTTCTCACAGTTGGGCAGGAAACATTAAATATCGTCCAACCAAATAGGTGTTCCAAAAACAGTGTATTAAATACTCTTTATCTTAGCTCTCTGCTTTCAGAGAAGGGTGATTAAACAAACAGTAGAATTAAAATATAAATTAAATTAAAAAAGTTGAAATAGAATATAAATTAAGTTACGATATAATTAAAGATATTTGTATCAAAACATGTAGGGTTAAGATTGTTAATAAAGTGAAATGATGATCATTTCTTACCTTTCTAAATGCTTGAAATCAATAAAAACATCTTCCAGTTTTCTCTTTTTCGTATATTCTTTCCTTGTAAACAGCAGAAAAATGTATTCCCCTCAAAAACATGTTGTCGTAATAGCGGTAGGGTAGCAATTTTTAAATCGTTTTAAACATATAATTAACATTAACATATAATTAACATTTTAAACATATATGTTAGCGATTTGTCAGTGATTTTGAAACTTCAGCAGCAGACTTCTTGTAATATGCTGTAATTGTGACATCTAACATTTACTGTATATTCATTCATTTTTTAAGCTGTCGGGATGAGTTTATTAATTCTTTTTTTTTTTGTTGTGCATAATTATTATGAATTTCAAACTTAGGATCAATTAGGAAAAATGTACGTGTAGGGAATATTGAGTAATGTTATAAATGTGCATTTTCTACCACACTTATTAAATAATGTGGCTATTAACCAGGATAATAACCAGATATGAATGTATTACCAGGTATTCACTACACATTTTTTCTTTATCTCTTATTGCTCTGAATTCATTTATATCGGTGATGGCGAATCTTAAAAAGTAGGTCACATTACGATCAATAATTTTTTAAATACAAGTTTGCAGGTTACTGAATCAATGTTGTAATTTGGAAGGGGATAAAATGGTACTATAATAATCTGGAAATGCACAAAATGTATGGACAGAGTTGATATTGTCATTGCAGAGTTGGTATAAGTATTTTGTGGTCCACATGGCATATTTGATGCCATTTGATTATGAACACTGCATTGGTTTGACATTGAGCATGCAATTGTACTTGGTATAGCACCTTGCATTGTTGACATATTTGTAAAGTTTGCTAGGTTTGGCTGGCTATTAGCTGTACTATTTACAGAAACATACATGCCAGGCATATTAATGTTTGATGCAACAGTATTTTAATGCGCTTGAGCATTTCTAAGAGATCACACCCGGTTCACCATTTTGGAGAAGGAGCACTCACCACAAGCGCTCAAAATCCGGAGAACATAATACAGCTCTCCCGATCTTTTACAAAAACCGGATTGAATCAACTAGTGATATCTGTTCATCAAATTCTATCCCTGATAAAATCTGGTGTGGGCTTATTGTGGCGTAACTACTACTACGATTATTGAACATCAATTCACTAGTATATAACACACGCTAACTCGATTCAATCTCGGGGTACCTTTTGATAGATGATAGTTAGTTAGTCAAAAGCTTTTTCCCCTCAAAAACTTACTTCTGACAATAGGGAATCTAGTTAGAAGGAAAGGATCACATGCTGAAAGCTTAATAGAGCTAACTATTCATAGAATAGAACAATAAAACATAGAATATTATTCTTAAGGGGGAAAGATGATGTTTCCAGACTTAAAACTAAAATTTTGTTTTTCCTAGTTTTTTTTTCTCTCTCTCTTTAGATTTAAGACTGATTAAAAATTTCCCAACTACCAAGCTTCCATTTTTTACTTAGAGCTTAAGAATAATTCTTTCAATTGTGCTGGAAATTTATACACATATTTAATAGAATTGATTAACAAGTATAAGAACTAGGAAGTTATTTATTACATATTTACAGAAATTTCAACGATGTTCATTTCTAATGCAACAAATACATAAATAATATGGGTCATCTATCAAGATTTCTGAATACAGAGCCAATTGTTTAATTCCTCATAAGGTTCACGAATTATTTCATCATCGTAAGGGATGTGCCAACCAGATTCCATACTGCCTTGAATACTTATGCTGTGTTTTACAGGATTCTAAAACAAATAAACTAGCTCAGTACAACACATTTATTTTGAAATACAAATACACAATGCAAACTAAATAATAATATAAAAAGATAATTTTTTTTTCTTATTTGCTTAGAAATTTTCAGTAATTTAAATTTAAAAACAGCTATCCTTACTTTTTCTTTACTATTGAAATTAGAGATATAGTAGTGAAAAGAAAATATTGATATTTAAAATCACAAAAGTATCTACATTGATTGCTAGAAAAAACTTTTCAATACTACTCTATATTATTGAAACTAAGTATCGGTACTACTAAATATGTTATATTACTTATACTAAAGTTTGATTTATGTAACAGCTTTAGAAGTATAGTCAGAAAGATAAGATTGTGTTTCAGTAAGCTATGTCTATAAGTCAATTTCGATAATAACATAAATAATTACACGCCTAGTATTTGGATAACTAAAATTAAATCGAAACCAATAAAAATTTTGCATTCGGAAAAAATAACAGAGCAAACAAAATATATCCAAATGAAGTTGAATTTAGCTTATTATGGTTCAGATAAACTGGAATATAAATATTTAATAAGAATTTAGGTAGTAAGTATATCTAACTTAGTTGTTAGAGAATTACAAAACAAAATATTAATTTATAATACATTTTATTACCACCATTGAACAGCCAACCAAATTTTGAATTTACGACTATTAATATTCAACTATATGGACTTGTAATTTTGATCCCAGAAGACAAGGGATCTCCAAGATCAAGTATTGGGAGAAAATTGCCATGTTGGAGGACTTTGTGAGGGAACTAACTCACATTTGCGTGACATGGAGAGGAAAACCACAAAAACATGTTTCAGGGCCAAAATTTTAATTGAAGACTGCATATTTGACATACCCCCATAAATTACTATGAAAAGAAGTAATAACAGTAAATATAATTTAAATAATTAGAATATCATGCTATAAAAAATTACATTATATCAATAATATTAGAATATATCAATAATATCAGAAATATCAATATGAACAGGAAATATTGATATTTTGATAGTATCTATACTTTTTCAATTTTATTAATAGTAAGCATTTTAATGTATACAGGGAGCACAGAAAAGTATTTCATTTACCAAAAAATTGCAGATTACAAATTTTTAAAAAAAATTTAAATTACACCTAAAATTATTAATTTGTACTGATTGGATTGTTAACTAATGTAGCTAAAAAAAGTAGCTGAAAATCTTAAATAAAATAATAAATAACCAAATAAAAGCATAATAATAAATTTTAAAAAATTTATATTAAATAAAAAGCTAAATATTCTAATTATTTAAATTATATTGAATTATTAGATAATAAAATGTTTTAGATAAAAAATTTTTACTTAGCAGTCAATAAAAGCACATAGAGCAGATTTTTTTTAGAATCATACTTTTTAATCCATGTATGAAATTAAAAATCAGTTTATTGTTTCTGGTATAAAAGAAACATACTAATTTTATAATTTTTATTATTTTTAATTCCCATTATCAAGTATACTGAAATATCAGTAGATAATTAAAAGTTTTTCTTTCTTCATAATTTAAAAATCTTCACATAAAAAAATTGATAATAAATATTCTAACACTTAATTACTACAAGAAAGTAAAATTTTATGATGCATGTATTTTGTACTTGAAAAGTACAAACAATTTTTCTTATTGAACCAAATTTGTAAAATCTTCAATCCTCTTATTTTAGTATATTATACATTAACACTTTCTAGACTAATATTAATGAATTTTGTAATATATTAAGCGAATTCCAAAAAATTATGCATGGCTGAAAAATTGAATAAAATTAGCTATTTTGTATTGTTATTATTCTAATAAAAACACAACTATTAATATTCTAAGGAAATATATTCATTTTTAGTATTAATTTTCAGTCAACCAAAGTTTTGTAAATTTAAATGATAAGAAAAGAAAATAATTATGCCTTTGATTTTCATTATAATAACACAAATATCCTTATGAAAGGTTTTCTCTTAAGTTATAACAGATGAAATAAAATATGAATAAATAAAAATAAATATATATTAAAAAAAAATTCTTTCTTTTTCTTTTTTAGTTTTAATTCTTAATTAAAATTGTGACTATTAAACTAACATAATCAAATAAGTTTCAAAATTTTAGTTTATAAATACACAAATATGCTTCTTTAGAAAGATTTTTGTTTTTAATTCAGTTCTGGAACAAAGTTATGAATGTTTGAAATAATAATAATATTTAAAAAAAAATAAATTTACCATAAGTTTGAAATTGTCGTTTTCATCAACTACCAGTAAAATTTGATGTGACTGCTGCCATTTTTTGAACAGTGCAATCAGGTAAGGATCATCCAGACGGGACATATGATCCCTCATCAAGTCCATGGTCAATATAAATGTATTAGGTCCACTAGCCAAGGCTGCATATACTGTGAAAGGGTCATCTTGAGAACTGAAATGAAGAAGAATTTCTTTAAAAATCTATTAAGCACAGATATACTAAAATTTAAAATTCAAATATTTATTCATCAGAATTAAAATATTTTAGAGAAAAATATTTTATGCTCACTGAAAATAAATTTTATTGAATAATTTCATAAATCTGATGTATTGATAATTTGAATTCAATTGATAAATTTATATAATTGTTTGAATAGTTCTTTTGACATAATACTTGATGACAAAATATTGGAAAATGTCAACAAAGTCAGAGGAAAAAAAAAACTACAAAATCAAAATAGGAATATAACAAAAAAAAAAGTTCAAAAAACCATAAATTTGAGTAATTTTAAATGGAGACAGTCATGTGATAATACAAAAATATATTATATATTTCCTTGCAATAAAAAATACAGATAAGTGGCAAAAAATTCACAAGAAGTTTAGAGACAAATTAAATTTACAAGTAGTAGTGAGGTTTTTATATATTTAGCAATTTTGTATGATAAGCTACATATTACAAAAAAGACTTAAAAGATTAATTTTATTAATTATTTTCCTAGAATTCTATTTCAGCATTGATAGAATTAGCAAGAGAAAGAAAATAGGTGTCAAGCTGCTTTAATCAAAATTTATCATAAATCAGTTATATTTCGTTTTTTTTTTTAAATTATACAGCACTACAGTCATGTGTTACAATAGAAATAACAAAAATTTAAAAGCATTAGAGAAATAAAGTAGTTGAAATACTTGCATATTGTTTGTGAGAAAAACAGCAGATAGATTCGAAATTTTTCTCATTAGATTCGGAGGCCACCCAATCATGTGTTTGCGACCCAAGACAAGTATTCTGCGAGATGATTTCGAAGAAAGTCTCTCCACAATTCGAAGCAGCTGGAATTTTCGAAATAAAATTTGCAAATTAGATGGCAAATAATGTTTTGATTTTAGGAGAGGAAAATAAATACAATGAAAAAATTTCAAATTGAAATACTAATAAGTAAATATAATTTAAATACTTTTCTTTATTTATAAAAAGAATAAATAATTATAAAATATGCTATCTGAGTATTACTTTTAAATAAAAGTTACATTAAAATTTTCTAATAAAAATAAACTAGTGTTTTGTGGATAAAATTAAAATGAATTAATGCAGAAATTTGAATCTATTCAAAGAATTACTATTTTAATAATCTACTTTAGTTCCCTTTTTACGTTAATTAATAATATTTTAATCTGCTCGAACCATTTTAATTCAAAATTCGAATTAACCTGATATATTTTAGAGCTTGTTAATGAATAGAAAACAAACAAAAATAGTTGTGATTACAATTTTATTCAATCATTAAAAAAACTTTATTTTTAACTTGCATAATATTGTATAAAAATCCTCCAATTTTAAACTTACATAAAATAACAAAAATCCAAATAGCCACTATTTTTTTCTTAATTAAATAAAAAACTTTGCAATATTTTAATTAATAAAAATCAATGCAAACTAACATGAATAGCTAAATTCTTCGCAATCTTTTTCTTCTTTGTCGTATATGCTACATTCAATGCATCAATTACAATATGAAAAGGTTTGTGACGCTCAATAAAAGACATATATTTCTTGAATTCATCAAAAGTTGTATTAATAAAAATATCCCCCTTTTTAACAGATTTCTCCATGAAGCTTTTTTCTAACATAGAAAATTCTGATTCTGATAATTCCACAGGCTTCAAACATTTCTTACAAAATTCACATTCTCCTGTTCTGAAAAAGATACAATGATTAATAAACAATTTCTGAATAACTACACAGGAAAACTGTTATCAAGAATAAAGTAGGAGTTAGAAAAACATATGTTATCATAAACTCTTGTAAAGTTTTAAATTTCTGTTTAGCAATAACAAAAGAAATAGTAAACAAGTTTTTCTATATGAACTGAAACTAATCATATAACATAAACAAAATTTAAATACACTATTATGATTTGATAATCACAAGACCAAAAAAATGTTGAAAACACTGAATATTGCAAAAAAATAAGATAATCAAAAACGACACGTTAATGGAAGAAGAAAAAATTTAAAAATAAAGAAATCTTAAAAAAAAACATAAATTAACTTGATTCAGGTCCTACACTAAGGACTTCAAGTTATCAGTCAATAAATTAGATAACATATAAAATTCTTAGCCAAAGGTGAATCTTAATCATTTTTTATGATTGATTTTTTCCCGTAGAAAGCTTCAAAGCAAAATATAAATTTTCTATAAATTAAATTATTTTATAAAATGCGTAATATTAATCTTTGAGGAAAAGAAATAGAAATAGGTTGGGCTAATTTTTGATAACTAATTAGATTAGAGGAGTAATATAAGAACAAACTTTAAGCAACATCATATTATTGTTACATTATTGTATATGTTATCGTCCCGAGAAAACATTTTCTGTAAAAATAGTTGAATGATAATATGAATCTTGCTACCTCTTAATCTACTATCTTAATTTCTTAATCAGCTTCCTCTAATTGGCATAAACTGTAGGGAGGAATTTTGTTGCGTGACACCAAACATCGTTTGTGTCATGCTTACATTATCTCTTGTTGCTATACTTACATTATCTAGACTTAATATAATTCTAATTAGTTATGCTACGTATCTAACGAAAACTACTGTAATCCAATAAAAATACAGCATTTGTTCAAAAAATTCCTTTGAACGTTTTTTTAAGGATCGAATATATCAGTAATCAGCAGCTAATAAGCTAAAAAAAATCAGTAACTAATACTTTTGCCAAAACACAATTTTTTTTCGCAAAATATATGATTTATCAAATTTGGCGAGTGCTTAGTACAGGCCCTCTGCTATTATAAATCATACTATTACAAAGCTGTAAATTTTATGTATTTTTTAAAAAAATAATCTGACAATAATATGTCTAAACAATAAAAATTACCAATAAATATCAAATAAAAAAAAATTTAGGCAATTTTAAATGTTAATGAGTTATCAGTAAGTGATCTCTTCAAAATTTAACGATTTGCATTAAAATTAAAATGTTTACATTAAATGTTAAAATTAAATGCTGTTATGCATATAGCATAATTGTTGATAATGTAAATGAGCTATGGAAATAGCAGAGGAAGCAATATTTATTCTACACAGGGTATCTGCTACATTTTAGATTTTCAAATCCATGACTAATTCCAAAATTTTTCATGACTTAACAAAGTTACTGTTTTCTCCGACAAAAACACTAAATTAAAAAAAGTATGATAATAACATTAATTGAAATGTTAGATATAACTAAAACTGATTTTAAATTTAAAAAACAAGAGTAAAGAAAGAGTTGAAACAATAAAATAGCTGAAAAAAATACAAAAGCCAATACTTTCTTTTCTGATTTTCTGCAGAATTATATTTTAAGATACTTTTCCTGTTCATCCGAAAGAAAAGAAATACACTTGATTTTTCTCTTGTCTTCTCGGAATAAAAAAAAATTTGCCAATGACTGGCTTGCTTCAGCAAGAATTTTGAATTGATAAAATAAAATAAAAAAATAATAATACAAATTCTGAAATCCCATAGGTTTAAAAGATAATTCGCTCTAGAAAAAATGTTTATTCTTTCATTTTTTGAAAGAACACCATACTTTTTAAAGAAAATGATAAAAACATTTTATATTTTAATGAAATATGACTGTGAGTGGGGATTTTGTTAGAAATTCAGATATTCGGAACACCATAAAATGGAGGGGGGATTCCATTGTGAAAATTAGATTTTTCGGCAACCTAAATTCATGACTATCCATGATTTTTCTTTAAATTATTAAAATAATGACATTTCAAGACAATTTTTGTTCAATACCGAAATTCAAGTTTTTCCATGACTTTCCAGGTGCACGGATACCCTGTTTATATTACAGGGAGACAATTGAAGCCTTTTTTTTTCATGGGAATTGTAATTTGACTTGCAGCAGGGTACACTGAATTTTCTTTTCATTTTCAGATAAATATCTAATGGCAGAGTAAAAAAAAAAATTTTTTTTTTAAACTTATAAACATGAAAACTGCTTACAAAGACTTTCGGAATGAAAATACGAAAATTGCATGAAATTAAATTTGAAGAATAACATTTCAAGATTAACATACATTAAAAGATAGAAATCAATACCACTTTGTATTTTATAAATGCTCTTTAGATTTTTCGAAATCATTCAAAAACACACTTGAATTGTCGAAGGATTGTACATACAAATTTTTAATATTCATTATGAATTTTAATATTCATTATGAATATTCATACTTTTGATTTTAATTTTTATATAATTTTAATAGCTTAAACTTCAATTTAATATCTGCATTTTCAACTTTATACCATATTTCACTCCATTCTAAAAACATATTGCCTAAATTTTTTTTAATAAATTCGAATCACTGCAAGAAATATTCCTTTAAAACAAAAATTTTTGGAGGAAAATTGGGGATGTTTATAATACCTCTCTGTTTCATTAGGCAATTAAATATACTTTGAAGCTGAAGTTTCAGTTAATAAAGTTTATATATTTCTCCAGACTTAAATATTAATTTGTCACCCTTAAAGTGCATACTTTTTCATCTTTCATTTTAGACAAGAATTCTAAAAACATTTAAGGCAGTGATTCAAACAGTTGATAAATATTATTGCTATTGCTTCCTGCATTCTTGCCTTATGTGCAAGAGGATAAAATATATAATTTCTCATTACCTATAAAAAAAAAGTAGACAAATTAAATTCCTAAAAAATTTTAGATAAGAAAAACAATAAATTACCGATTAACCTTTGTATACTTTATGCTCCAGTCTGAGGAATGCCTAAAAAGAAACAACATTAAATTGAAAAATTTTACAAAATGGCTATTAATACAGTCATAAATATATTTGGCACTATCAAGAACAATATAAGGATCAACTCCATTTTTAAATTGTTTAGGAGAATATTTCCTGTGAGAAACATAACGATTTTAATGTAAGCAATATGATATTTTTATGAATGCTGTAGTATAAATTCCAGAAACTTACGAAATACACATCTGGAAACAATACTATGTTCAGTATAATAATTTAAAGGAAATTAATAAAATGCAAAATAAATCAAACACTGGAAATTCTTTAAGTACAACAAAAATATAAATTAATTAAATAAAATAATAGAATAGAAATAGCAACAGTAGATTAGCTATTATTATTAACCCACAATTTAAGCCTTGGTGTAGCGTTTGTTCTGAAGTGAAACTGATTAATTTTATGCATTTTATTAAATTCTAAAAATTTAATAGACTTCTTTCTAAAACTAAGCGTTTTCTTTTCTTTTTTCAGTTTATAATTGAAATTACAAAAATAAAACAGATCTATTCATTTCAGATGAGCGTACAATTACTACAGCAATTTTTGACAAACATTTTGGCCCAAATTTTCACAAAGAATCAATAAAAGGCAATATTAATTATTAGACACAAAATTTTCTAGTATGTAACAGAAACGATTTGTTTTCTAATTTATACAAGGAAAAATAAATAAAATAAATAATGTTACATATTTATTATGTTTTTTTGGGGGGGGGGATTTTAAAAATATGAGTAAATAACTATTCTCCACATTAGTTCATTTCTAGTTAGTTTTAATTATACAGTCACTAATTCTATAATCAATTATAAAAATAAATGCGTAAAAACTTAATTATTCCTATTTGACTTGGTGATGGTACTTATCTTGCTAACCATAGTCAGATTAGCACTTTCATAACCCTAGCATCATTTAGTGAAGGTGGCAATGCTTACTTTTTCTACTAATTGTTGCTAGCTGAGTGAAGTTTTGATTGATTTACCAAAATTACTTTTCGTTGAACAATGCAAGTTTTTAAAACTTTGAAAGATGAAATTAAATATTTCTTAGGTTTTTACAATACTATATTCTCAAAAAAATATTTCTTGAAAATTTGCAAGTAGCCAACTGTTTTTGAGCAAAGCTTAAACATTACTGTTAATGATTGTCTTTCAAGGAATAAAGAATTAAATTTTAAACATTAAATAGATGCTAACATTTGGCAGTGCATCAATAAATTGACTATTTATTACTTTATAATGGTAATTTTATTATGATAATTTTATTATCAATAAAATAAAAAATGTTAAATAATATTATGAAACAATGCAAAATGTATGAATCTTACCTCATAAAAAATTTTTCAACTAAAGTCACAGTATTTTTAGTTAATTGGAGATTATGACATTCCATATACTTGAAAATCTTTAACAAGAAAGTCTCAGCTTTACTTCTATCTTTTACCAATAATTCATTCGCATATTTTAAAAATTCTTCAATAACTTGATTACCCAAAACTTCACCCTTCTTAAACCGTTTTGAGATGATTTCCCATGCTAGAGTCTCATCCCCGTTTCGTATAGCAGCAGATGCTAGACTATTTCTAATTTCCAAACACGGGGATGGAATTCTCTTAAGATAGTCAAAGGCAGAACGCCATTTATCTGTGCTACAAATACCTTGTATAATATAAACACCTCGTTTCATATCAAAAATAGGAGTATTTTCGATGAAATCTTGAATTTGATTAAAACTTTTAAAAATTTCTTCTTGCCCACACACCTCAACATTCTTCCCACACAAAGCGATATATTGAAGGTATGCTAATACATTAGGCTTCATATTACTTTTTTGCAAATAGTTCATGAAAGATTGAGCTAACTTGATGTTGTTTTCATTCAATAGTGTATTCATGATAATACTACTATAGTTGATGTCCGACAAAAGAGATATTTCAGTGAAAAAATGCATTTTTGCATCTTCCCAATCATCAAATGTTTCAGGAGATTTTTCTGAAAAGTAACTTTTAATTTTTTCATTTGCTACTTCAAACGGAGCCAAAGGATGATACTGACTACCAAAGCCAGTTTTATAATCAGGAAGAGACTTATTCTTAAAATTTGGTATGTGCTTTAAATTATTTACATTAGATGAGAATGGTTTCTTGTGTAATAGTAGAGAGGATGTTAGTCGAAATGTTGATGTGATATTTTTAATAGGAGGGATTGCTTTCTGTATTCTTAGCACGGACAACATCTTGATAAAAATTGTATGGCAAAACAATATCCTTTACCATTGTAACATCTTTCAAACCTGAATGAAAAATAAATAAATAAATGACTCTTTCAAAAAACATGATAATTTTCAAAAATATTAATCAGCTTTTAAAATTAATATGCTCTTACTTTAATATGCTGATATAAAATAATGCTCTAGGTTACAAATATAACTATAAACTAAAAACCTACCCTGAAATACTTTAATATGTATCCAAGACATATACTACAGAATGAAACAAAAAAAGAAAAATACAAGAATTAAAAAAAAACTACAAAAAATAGCAATAGTTTTTATTGTAAAATAATTTTAAAAATCTCAACCTAATACTAAATTAATTTAATCAAACATATCTTCAATTCCTATTTTGAAAAATAATTTGGGCATTAATATTAAATACTGCAAAATTAATTCAATAAGTAATTTAATTCTTTCATGAAAAAAAATTTTTTTTATTAAAAGTGAAAATTTATAAAAACTTTGAAATGCCACATAAAAAATAAATAAAACTAAAAAAAGAAAAACAGTCGAAATCAAAAGAGATAATATATATTTTTATCAACAATTATGTCTGTAATTTTTTTTGTGATCTCATTATTCTTTATTTAACAATAATTCTTTTATTAATTTACTTAAAATAATTTTGGTTACCTCTTATTTTGAAGTTTCTTAAATATGAAATTTAAAAATTATTCTGATTTTTTCTCCGACTTGCATGAAAAGTGACTTTTTTTCAAAACTACACTTATTTTAAATGAAATACTTATTAAAAGAATATTACTCATATGATATTAATCAAAAGAAAATTAAAAAACTAAACAGCTGGAAATAATTTTTAACAGTTTACAGTTAATTTTGAAAGTGTTATTTTTTCTATAATCAAGTATTAATTTTTAAATTAGAATATTTTCATTTAATTTAATTCAAACCATTAAAATTAAAATAAAAAAGGAGAAAAAGATAAGAATAAAACAAATTAAGGTTAATTAATTGTGCATCACATCAATCAATAAAAAAAAATTAAGGTAAATAATTTAGACAGATGAACAATAATGTTAAAATATATTTGACATTTCAATATTTTTCTTCATAATGTTGAAATATATGTTACCGTATGTAAAACTACATACTTATAACCATGTATTTAGTATATAGTTTGTAACTGTTTTCACAAAAATGGTAGACAGGATTTCACACAAGTATCCCGATTTGACTTAGTTAGGTTTTGGGTGACTTAGCACAGTTTTTGTTGCCATTTCTACAAGAAATATAACGTAGGAAAAATATTTTTAAAAATAATTTAATGTTACAAAATTAAATAATGTAACAAAATTTTCAATTTTTCTGGAAAAAATTTTTTTTTTCATTAACTTCTTGTTAACAACATATGAGCAAAATTTCAAGACTGTATTCTTATGGGATCATAAAGGGAGAAAAAATAAGTTTTGCAGTTTAACAATGATAAATCATGCAGTAAAAGCAACATGACATGCTATTTCAAGAACAGGTCTGGTATAAAAATGTCATATTGAGTAGGGTCGATTTTAACTTTTTTTACAAAAATCGAAATAAAACCTTGCCAATAAAACTAAACTGAATAAATTGGGCCGAAATTTAGCTCTAAAGTTACAACTGATAAAAAATTCTAAAGCTTTAAAAAAATTTTGAATTTTAAAATTTTAAAAAAACATAATTCAGTTATAAATAATTTTACTGATGGTTTATTTTTCCATTCATTCTGCCAGCTCTACCAATGAGCAAAAAATAAACAATACAAAGACCTGATATTTTAGCCCTTATTTGATCTGGTATGGATTCACTCATAAAAGATTTTTTTTATGTTTAAAATCAAAATCGTTCTTTCTGGAATACAAGTGGGATGGAATACTGTGAATACAAAAGGGAAAAATGTTACAAAAAGGACATACTAATCTAAAACAATCTAAAGCAAATGTCATTTGTTAAAAAGATATGATTTAGACAAAATATTTTAAGTAAGACAATAAAGAGAAAAATTAAATTGTTACAAAAGTAAATCAAGTCATAATTCAATTAAATCACAACTGCCAACTTTTTGGAGACAATTGCTACATTTTTGGAGGACAATTTCCACCTTTTTTTGGGGGCGGGGACAATTTTCCCTACTAGTAGAAAAACAATAATTATTAACACATCTTTTCAATTTTGCACACAATTAAAAACTCAATCAAATTAACTCCCAGGCCTTTTGTACATGCTTTACTAATTTTTACGTAAAGGTGTTAAATTTTTAAACCAAAATTATAGAAGCGAGAATCGATATCTGTTTATACGCTATAACATTTATAATACTCTAAAAATCACAGAGGGGAACAGAAAATAAGATGTGCAGATTTATTTAGACAAAATTGATTCAAACTTTTAATGTATTGTAGTATTATTCTTAATCGATAATGAATCGATTAAGCAAGATGATTATAAATCATTTCTTGTATGTTGTATGGCAACAGTCTGGATGAAAAATAGAACAGCTATGGTGAATAAATATTTGCTAACCTTCTGAATAAGTCTATCTTGTATTAAAGTGATAAAACAACACTTCAGTATCAACAAAAATAATTCTTTTCCTTTGTTATTAATAGCTGAAGGAGAAAATTTTTAATAATTCTGAGTATTAAATTACATGGTTGCTTTTACTTAATGCAAATGTTTGATCAGTCCTTGATAGTTCAAAAATTACTTTTCTTGATTTGAAATCCTTTGTTCTGTCAATCACTACATAAAATAATAGCATAAATGTCAATAATATTAATAGATGGATAAAGGGAGGAAAATTCAAATTTTAAATATGCACCTGGAAATAGTGAAAAAATGGCCCAGAAATATTATATTACTGTGTCCCATTTGAAATATAGTGGAATTACAAAATAATGAAATCTTTAATTTCCATACCATATTAAACATAAATATTTATAAAAGGAACAGATACAAATAATCTAAAAATTTATTTTAAAACGAACAAAGTCTTAAAAATAGGTTTATATAGTACATTAGACTCAAAATACAATTAGTAAAGATTTATTTCAATGCAGAATATTTATATAGTCATATATTAATTTTATGTTAATACATATAACCAAAAGGGCATTTCATAAAGCATAGCTTCATAGCTGGCAAGCATAGCTTCACCTTTTTATTAAAGTGTCAGAAATCTTATTTTCTTCAAAATATATTTTATTTTTATTGCATATATATAAAAATTTATGTTACGCACAAAATAATTTAAGTGTTGAAAATAAAATTGAAAACAAAATTTGTTTAAAAAAGTTTGGGATGTAATTGATGAAAAATTTGTAAAACAGCTATTAACCCAGTTTGCGCTAAATATTATTTTTTAAATAAACTGAAAATTATAATCAGTACTATTTAAAAGTAAACCAGAAATATAATTAATAATTTTTACTTACCAAATAATGTATTCTTTAGGTTGTCAGAAAACCATAAAGATGAGAACTAGAAGGAGAATGAATATTTAATAAATAATAGGTAGAAGAAACAATGTAGTAAATAGAAGTAAAAATAGTTAAAAAGAGTAGTCCTAGGAGCCCTAATTTTTCCAGCAAGGGTCTCAGGTGTTCCGAGAATTAAGAATTTCTTTTACCCAGTTATGATTTTCAAAGCCTGTAACTGAATTTATATTCAATTAATAATCCATTATTATTTATTTAATATTTCCATTATTTTTAAGAAATTATATAATTGAAATTGGATTGTAAGTTACACAATCTTTAACATCCCTTTAAAGAATTCAATTTTACAAAAACAAAATTAGAGCACATTCGTTTCCCAGAAATAAAACTAAAAAAAAATTTTAAGTAGAAATTTGATTTATCAGCAACTATTCAAATGATTCTGCTCATATTTTGCAATGTAAAATTACATTCTTTAAAAATAATGTAAAAATTGTATACCTTACAATTCAAGAGTTTTTCAAATGTTATTAAATAAAATAATGAATTAAAAGTTATTATTTTTTTTGCAAGGAATGATCTTGAAATAAAAACTTTTTATAATTTCGTGCAAAAATCAATTCACTTAAGAAGTTCTTGCAATAAGGTTTAATATGGAAAAAGTAAAATCAACTTTAACGAGTTCAAATTTTAAATCAATCCCCTGAGCAAACTATGGGGACCATAATTCCTAGATCATGGTTACTCGCTATATTTTGAAGATGAAAAATCTGAATCCGTCTAGAAAATAGTATGTTTATTCTAAGAAAGTACGTTTTTGCGTGTGATTTCATAACTTAGAATATCGCTTGCAAAAATTTAATCAGCATATATGAGGTCACCCCTTTGAACCATTAAAATTGATTCTACAAAGTGAATATTCCATCATAATATTAGAAGTTATTCAGGGTGGTCTGTTTATTTTTCTGTGCATGGTACAACATTACAGGACACAATTTTCAAAATGAAACTTTTCAAGGGTTTCTAGTATACATTGCTATACACTGCAATATTTATTATAATATATATTGCCACTATTATATATATTGAAACATATTATATTTTTTTATGCACAAAGCACTTTATAACAGAAAATATTAATATTGTCTTCTATAAAAAACAAATTTCACTTGGTGAAGGATTATCAAGATGTTTATATAAATACCTATATAAATTATAAATAGAGGCAATATATGTTGCACGAAAACGTAAAAACTCAATCATAGTTTATTAATCAAGTATCTAACTAATGATTAAAATCCATAATAAATTCATACACAAAAATTTTTAACTAAAAGCTTAGTATTATTGATCTGCACATATGGTTGCATTGAAGAAAAAATTTGAAAGGAAAAAAAACAGTTAAACAAAAAGACTTTCTCACATTGTTACAGCTGAAATGGATCCTATGATGAAATCTATTCATGCTATTCTGTTTTTATTTCTATAATCTAATTCATTAACTTGTAGGTCATTGGTTACTTATAGTTACCCTCATTTATGAAAGTGGTCATTTGTTGTAAGATTTTTTAACTTTGGAGATTTTAAATTAAGAGTTTTCTATGTACTTCCTTACCTCTATGTATACCTTACTTCCTGCCTTTTTTTTATTTATTTTTTTTGTTCCAAAAATCAAAATTCCTGATAATTCAAAGTTTTCTGGGTTTCCTTAACCACCTGGGAAGAATCAGAAAGGATAGAAAGAAAATATTGTTCTTATTTTTTTCAAAACAAATAAGATAACACCTTGAAAAAACTCACAAAACTTGTAATAGGCTTGTTCGAATCCTACAATAAACATAGTCATAGTTTTTATAATAATGAATGATTAATCTTACTCTTATTTATTTAATATTTTTGAAAACGTTCAACAATTTATTTAAAATGATAATGAACTAGACACTGAATTAGAAGAAAAGTTTTACTTTCTCGTAGCCTATGGTAAATACATAATCTCATAAACTTATTTCATTAGTCCCTAAATTTATAACAATAAAATATTAAACTAACATCAACAGGAATCACTCATTTTTTGAATATATATATATGAATAATCAAGACAAATCTGACAAGATAAAACTTCGTTCATTATTTAGAAAGAAAAGTTTTGAATTAAAGAATTCAAATGTTGTTTGTAAACAACACACCATATAATAACTGTTGCCATTTATATTTTCAATTTGAGTTTTCACTTCAAGTTACACGGAATATTCTCACTGATGAAACGTCTATTCTTACTGTATGAGAAATGGTGATATGGATGGTTGACCGTGTAAAACTAAGCACAGATGGCGCTACGGAGTAAAATTTGTCGTAAGACTTCCGGGACATTACTTTTGATTGATTTTTACGCCTAAACTTGAAAAAAAGGAGCCGTTAATAATTATTATGCTTGCAGTATTTACAATATAACTCGTTTTTTAAATTTCTACGAAGCAAACAACCTAAGAATTTGGAAGACTCTAAATTCTTATGTTGTTATGAAAAATGCAACCCGAAAAATAACTAACGGTGATATTTTACACAAATATGGCCAAATAAGGGATAACACTCAAAACATGGAAAACCTTACACTTTATTTATGTTGTGATATTAATTTTCCGAAATTTATTTTAGTCTTATAACCAGTTGAAATTCGTAAATTACAGGAAACTTTTATGAATGATAAAATTATGCGCAAATTTGAACATAAATCACATTAATAAGACTCCTTAAATAATAAGCCTGTTTACGCCTCGTCTCGTAAGCATTAGATAAGCGGAGGTATACACCGGAAATTTTCTAAGTTTCTGCCAGTTTTAAAAAGCTTGTTATTGTTTACGTTCAGTGCCCCCCCCCCATAGATCATGACGTTGTTCATCATGCCCTCCCTCTCAGTGTTCTAAACATGTTTTGAACTTAATCCTTAAAATGGCATTTCCCATTAAACATAAAAGTAATTACTTTAATTGGCGATCGAAATGGGCTGCAGGTGGCGTAGAGCAGAACTCTTATCCTATGGCAACACTTCACATGCTTTCCCCATTAGCGTGTGGAAAGTCATAGAGGAAGGAAGTACGTTAGTTTCTCTCTTGATTTTCACATAGATTAAAATCTTTTAACTGGAAAAACTATATGGAACTGAAAACTACTTTAAACATAGTTCTAAAGAAAAGTATCATAGAAATTTTGAAAAATATTTTTATTGAATAAAAAGGAAAAATATTAAGAAAAGGGAAATTATCGTAGTACATTCCTATACAACTGAAAAGAGGAGGGAAGGGAGAAGGGCTAAAGGCATGAAACCGGTCCCTCCCCAGATGGCGTATTCGAGTGTTGCGATCGCGAATAATGTAATTACTTCATTAATGTATATATTTCATCAAATATTTATAACTAATTTGTTCATTTCATTACGGTTAGGAGCTAGTTTGGTTAGAAAAAAAGTTGATGCAAAAGCATCACCGTTATTGAATTTTAGTTTAATAACAATGAAATTTAGGGGAAAAAAGTTTAGTTTCGATTTTGAAAGATGGTTTCGATTTTTTACAAATTTACGAGTTTTGTGTAAATTATTATTCGATTAAAAGATATTGGTGAAACTTTAGCATTGTTCTTAATACTTTTTATCATAATTAAATTGTGTCTTTCTTTTGCTTAGTTTGGAATTTATTTTACTTTTGAGAAATTTTTAACCCATCTGAAATAAAGAGAAATTTTTAATACAAAAATTATAGTGCAAAGCTTTAAAACTGCATCTAATACAGTAGTAAGTAGTCTCAACGCATTTGAAATAAGACTTGTATTGACTGAAGTATTTTTTCACTGTATGTATGCGGCGAGTTTATTTTAAACTAGAACAACTATTTTCAAAATATTAATTAATTTCATTTCCAAAGTTAAAAATGAAACATTCCAATTACTTTTATTTTAATATTTTTGTTAATTTCATCATTATAATTATTGCATATTAAAATATATGATATAAATCTTTTTCTTCTCATGAAAATTTCATTATACTAAAATGCCTTTTTAATGGCCCCTACAAGAATATTTGTTTCAATAAACGTAACACATTAAGCTTATACATTATCTGAATATCTCAATCCTACTCTGAAATTCAAATTGTGAAATATTAAAAATTCTCAAAATAGGACTGTATGAGATTATTTTACGTACGAAGTATCCAGAATTCTGAAGACAAATAAAGAGAAAAAGTGATACATACTTTGAGAGACAACGTGTGTATATAATACACAAAAATNTATATATATATATATAACGCAAACGAAAGAAAATTAATTATAACTAATAATTAATTAAAAATGGAACGGAAAACAGTGAAATCGGTGTGTATTTGTTCTATGACAGTTCAATTAGAGTGTAATCGGTTTTAAAGAAAAGCATTCTATAGCTTACTGTTTTTTAAAAGAATTTAATTTTAACTGGACTCTTACTTGCAGTATTAAAATACATTATCTGAAGTTCAATAATAGAATGATGACCGATAACCTTTTAACGGACTATTATTTGCACTTGGATTGCTGTCTATTACAATAGTTTAAACCCTCAACGTAATTCAGCCAGATTGGCAGACAAGCAGTAATTGTTTTACTTTAGTCTATATTCATATACAATATATGAGAATTTCATTTTATTGTATGAGTGATTGGATTATTTTCTTAGAATTCTTCTCGAGTTAATATGAATACCCATCAATAATATTAAAGCTTCATGTGGTTCAGCATTTAAATGTATTGTGGGTTTTTAAGCAGTCAATTTACAAACAACAAAGAGTCGTGTTCTGTTATATTACTCATTATCACTTTTAAATATTTATAAAAAGCTCACTCCCATTGCTTTTACATTTCACAAAACTGTAATAATAAGAAGAAAAATTGCGTCTTTATAAAGTTTTATTAATAATAGACTGTGTTTTCAAGATATTACGTGCATAGAAATTTTTTAATAATATCTAATCGTTATTAACAATGAAAGTGGAAGCCGTTTGTAAATTCATTAACTCGAAAGTGGTCCGGAATTACCAACATTTTCACTCATAAGAAATATGATAGTTTGTTATTTTTAATAATAGTTAATAATGTTTTTTTTATTTTAAATTGAATATATATTATGCTAGGTTATTAAATCGCTCGAATTTTTGCATTCTCTACAATGAGCTAGTAGAATTAGATTTTCTTTTAGGATATTTTATTTTCCAGGATATTTTACTTTCCAGGATATTTTATTTATGATAGCTTGCAACCTCAATATTTTTCCTGTTTTTTTAAAGGTTTGAAAAATTTATGTTATATTTATAAAAATAAAATATCCTGGAAAAAGGAAATGAATAATCATGCAATCTTTAATTGTTAAAGAACATTTTTTTTAAAGAAAAATCACTATCATTATTTTTATTGCTTTGTGTCAACATTTTTAATTACTTTCTGTGCTACAAATCCACATGAATAGTACAATAAGAAGATGGTCATAGGTATTTCTACTCGTTCTAAGATCTTGTATTTAAAATACAGAGTTTGTTTCACATTGATGAAGTTTATTTGGAGCAAAAGGAATTTATTCGGTAATGTTAGAGAAAGAATAATTGTTAAAAATGGAGAAAAAAAAGAACGTTACCATAGTTGATTCGTAACATTGATAATTGACAAAGCAGAAGTAAAATGACTAAAAAAAATAAATAAAAAGGCACTTCCTAACAGCCAAAGTGCTTCAGCCAAAGCCTCTGGTTTTCGTAGGAGACCACTGTTTTATAAATACCAATACTAATGCCACCTATGATCTCAATTTTACGTCTTTTGCGCAAAATTAAATGATTTTATTTTAAATGTTATCTTAGGAAAATATGACGAACATTATTTCATATGAAAATGGTATTAAATAAAACCTGTAGTATAAAATATTATATACTATACATACTATAATCGCTGTTGTTACACTGTCACCTACAATCTGTATTAAGCATATATGTACCAAATTTTTAAAAAATTTAAAGTAATTAATTACTTCTACACATTGCTTTCGTTCGAAAAAATATAACGTCAATTTTTTTAAAATGGTATTAAATAATAATCATAAAAAAGAAAACTCGCTAATAGTCTGTTCAGTTGTTATTGAACTCTCAAAAAGTACAAGAAAAGAAAATTGTAAAAATGTGTCATGGGATTCCGTTCTGGGTGAAAAAAAAACTTTTTAAAGAATGGCTATATAGTACGTTTCATTTGAATCAAAATCTATTTTATAAATGGCGATGTTTGCGCCATCTATGTTTCGATCTTCTCCCCAGAAGGCATACTCGAGTGTTGCGATCTCGAATACATTTCATAATTAACCTTTTTTAGCAAATTAAAATATGTAAATAAATTTTCTTAACACATAATAACACATGTTATATTAATTTACATATATCGTAATAACAACTAACATTTCGTATTTTTAACCTAAAATGTCTAATTATATAGCACTTTTCATCGGATATATAAAACATATTTCATAACAACTAACATTTCGTTTTCTTTTTTTAAACTTAAAATGGCACTTACACGGCACTTTTCATTGGTTATATAAAACATATTTCATAAATCGCCATGCTCGTGCATCATAAAGTTTTCAATGACTGGTACATAAATGAAAAAAAGTATCAACGTGTCCATAATCCTGTTTTGTACAAAGGATTCTTGTATACTATAAAATGTATTGTGTACAATATGCTATTTAAGAACCGTAAGAACGCTGAAATAATCACAATCGAAACAGATTATTTTTAAATTTATTAAAAACAATGTATAACATACAGAGAGAAAAATTCTCTTTGTGCAGCAATTTTAAGTCGAAAAACAAAGTTTTGTAAGCACAAATAAAATAATTTATTTTTCAGTACGCTGATTGTAGCACTAACGATGGTGCCTGTAACTGCATTAAAATGATTATCTTCTAATTTTAGCACTCTTATTTGAGATTTAAAATCGTTGTTTTTCGACTTAATCTGTAACATGCCAATGCAAAAATTGCACGAGATTATAAATAACAATAAATTACATCTGGAACGATCCAAGACTTTGAAACAAATAAAAATAATAAACACAGAAAGTGAGAAAAAAATTTTCCTTTAAAGGGTGCATGAAAATAAAATATTTTTTTAGATTTCATTCGAAATCTTTCATTTAATTAAAATTCAATATTAATTAATCTTTTTCGTCATTAGAATGACTGATTAGGTAATTCATTAATCACATTTTACATAAATTTGCATAATAAATAAATTTAGTAATAAAAATACTGATTTATATACAATATAATGGGTTACAGTATTTCAATTTATTCAGCAAAGCTTCAGAATCTTGAATGTAATGAATTCCCTTTCCTCTGCAAAAAGAAGACAATTGTTTTATTAAAAAAACTTATTTGTCGGAAAAGCACTTATGTAAAAAAAAAAAACTTAAATAGAACAATTTCTGTAAAAAAATTTTTGGAATATTAGATAATTGTGATGCATATTTTGGTTTGCGTTTCAAATTGTCTAACGTAAAGAAAAAAATAAAGCAGAATTTATTTTTAATAATTTCCAGATTAACAATAAAACAAATAAAATATTGAGAGAATAGTAACTTAAGGCATTAAAGGGTTGTGAAAGAGATAGGAATTAGAGTAAACGTTTTGTTGCAATTATCTCAGTTTCGGCAAAAAAACATACTTGATAAATCTATGAAATATGCCAAAGTAGATAATGGGACAGAGTCTGAAAATATGCTAAGAAATGAAATATGCATTTACCATCGTTAGAGGTCACGTGAATTTGTTATTCAATCAATCTGATAACAACATATTAATGAAAAATTTATGCCTACACATTCCCACATTAAAAGTAAGTTTTAAAAATTAATTTAGAGCTAAGTCATTACGTTTGCAATCATAACAAATTGGCATTATAAATGCCACTCTGTTTTAAATAAATACGATGGAGTTAAAGTGAGGTAACAAAACATTCGATTTTACAAAAAGCATTTAAAAATTTGGTAAAGCTATTTTTCACTCATTTGGGAGTCATTTTATTATGTACTGTATCTTTTTCATTTAATGTATTTTTTCTTATACTGCTTGAAAATATCCAAAAATGCTCTGAAATTACACAAAAATCACGTATAAAATACTAACTCTTATCACTATCTTCTGAACCGTGACCTCAGCTCACTTGCCAAATTGGGGGCGTACATGTTGAAGAACCTGGTTTGACCACCTGAGGGTCTTCTGAAAGTAGATGGTTGACCAAAGTCACCAGACTGGCTGAAAGAAGATGGCCTGTTTACGGAAGATGGTTGACCGAAGTCACCAGACTGGCTAAAAGAAGATGGCCGGTTTACGGAAGATGGTTGACTGAAAGAGGATGGCCCACTAAGAGATGATGGTCTGGCTGGTAAAGATTGGCTGACGGCTGGAGCAGCATTGCCTTGTGGTCTTCCAAAATTTATTTGCGGATAATCGTATCCATGGCGACTGTAATGCGGAACTGCTAACTTCTCGGCAAGATGCAGAGATAGATCATAAGACACACAAACGGAGGCAAGTGTGAGCAAAACCTGGATAATGAAATAAAAAATATTATATGAGCAACACATTATACAAGTAAATTTAAAAGCATTCTTCAGTGTGTTGATGCATTATAAGATAGTAGAAAGTATACTTGTGACCAACTTCATTAATTTTCATGTGTCGATGGCTGGATATTTCACCATAATTTGATTTGTTGAAAAAAAGCATCACTTAAATTCCAAATATATGATAATTTCTTATCATTCTCAAATTAAATATTCACTGTCAAGAAGAGTATAGAATTTGAAGGTTAAAAGAATAAATTCGTAAAAAGTGCATCAGAATAACAAACTATCTTCTATAAAGATGAATTAACATTTCTTAACAACTTCTCAAGCTTAACAAAACTAATTTTTTTACTCAAAACCACTTTGAACATAGGTGTGAATTATGCTCTCCAATAATTTATGTCATCTAAAAGTAGTGAAGTACTAACTATATTTCAAAAGTAGCTTCTAATCGCTACATTTAAAACAAAGTAGTTGTAGTTAGCTGAAATTCTAATAAAGTAGTTATAATTGCAAAGAAAATGTAGTTTTTCTGACCGCTGGATATAGCAATAGACAAAACCAATTTTAGATTAAATTGATAAATCTAAGAATTAATTGGAAAAAACTTGCATTTTGCTGCTATCTTAAGCATAAAATATTACGGGGAAAAAAAACATTTTGAGTGAGAAGCTATAACTACGTCATATTTGAAAAAAAAATTCATTTTTATAAATAAATTAGAAGCAATGTCATTTCCTCCCCCAGTCACACCCCATAATAAATTTAAAAGCATTAACTAGTTAAAAACAAAGATGAAGTATTATTATGAAAGACAATGAAGGTTAAATGCATACGATAGCATGACCTTTAACTTAGAAACTCTAATTCGATACGAGGTCATGTTTCTAACGATAATGAATTGTGAGTTCCTTTTTGCCCCCTTTCGAAATCGTGCCATTCCTGTTTTAAAACAATTCCATCTTTAGATTCTTATTTTACCTTCCTCCCACAACACTTAAATACCTGGTTTTTAATTCAAAATCTGTTTCTCGTGATTAAATTACCATATGAAAAGAATTTAAAATCCTTGAGCAGCTATCCCCCAAAAGTACTGGATAATTCAGACTTTTAGATTTCGCCATATTGGTTTCCTAAAACTAATGGTTTTTAGGGTGAAAAAGAGAAAATATATTTTTATCTAAATGAAGTAAAAAGTTATAACCTTGGTGCGATATGAAATTGAAGTTAGTATTAAGTATATCTATTTTTTTAGTTTCGGGTTTAATATTGTTCTATAATTTAGGGCGTAGTGAGTGTTTGAATCAATGATCGCTAGGACTGATATTACCGAGATATACTTAAAGTACTGTTGTGCAAAAATGCTGTTTTTTTCCTTCTTTTTATTGCTTATAGTACCATTTTTTTCGTTTACTTTGAATGTTCTATTTGCATCGCTTTGTTCTGAAAGAAATGTTCAGTATATCCTCCAAAACTGTATTTTGATGTTTGAAGATATTTAATTGAAGTTTTCCCAACTGGTGGCAACAAACTATTAAATTTTTTGTGACGAAGATATTTCTTTAACGTTTGAAATGTTTTTCTTTTTTTTTAAAAAATTAATGTCTCCTGATTTAAACATGGACCCAACGGGCCTTAAACATCTTAGACAGTGGTAATAAAAAGGATTAAAACTACACAGTTAAATACATTTTAAGCCACTAACATATTTTAAAAGTATATATTTTTTAAAAAAAAACTACACCTAACATTATCTTAATGAAATTATTATTAGCATTCTCAAAAATTCGATACCACTAATGCGGTCTAAGATCCGTGGTAATTCTGTTCAAGATTATTTTTTTCACCACAACATTTAAATAATTTAAATGCATTTTTACATACCTGCAAGCTGAAATTCCTAGGGTAATTTTCTCCAGCGGCAACAAAATGAAAATTAATTTACAAGATTAAGTAGAAATATCTTTTTATTTTGTTGAGAGTTCAAATATAACAGCGTATAATTATCATGCACTCATATAAATATTAGTTTATTTATAGTTAGTGGTAGTTAAAACTTTAGAAATCGACGAACTAAATAGGAAGCATAAATTTCCCTACCACTAAATATGTAAAAATGAAATGTTACACAAAATGCGCAAAAGCTCAAGTTGTATAGTCATGTATTAATTAATAAAAGACCCGTTAATAAAGCTGAAATGGTTTTAGGTGATCGTAAAATTTAAAAACAAGGCTAAAAAATTTCACCAAAAGCTTCTGAATTCCTAGTTTTGCAAGCAACTTTTGACACTTGAAGGAGGAGGAAGAGAAGATAAAAGAATTAACTGTTTTTAAATCAATGCAAAACTCTTAATGAGTTCTATGATTATTGATTTACCCCTTGGAGACGGTTGATTCAGAAAAGCATTCGTACAAAATCAGAATCAAGTTGTAATTAAATAAAAAACGGTAACTTAAATGTAGTCGTTTCTAATTTGACAGACTTACTTTACTTTTACTTTAATTATTGTTAGTTTAATCATATATATAATCAATGTTAATTCAAGGTATAACTAAATAGTTTTATTTTGAACAAAGTAATGGTGAATTAAATAAATCAAACAATTATAACTCCGCCCACAAATAAACTGCTAAAGAATTACTTTGATTACCAGTTTTATCTTTTTACCCTGGTTGATACGGTTTTATGCTAGCACTTATTTGTGACAGTCGGCGCGATAGGGTTAATGCATGTAATGGTCGATCAGATATTGGTTATTGTTAATATTAAGTGATAATTGTTAAAAAATAAACTCATTAAAGTTAATTATTTTAAAGAAAGTATCTTATTTACTCGACATAATAAATTAACAACGAAGTTCAATCCTTATGATTATTTTCACTGGAACCATGAGCTATTGTTTAAAATAACTAACGTGATTAGCTTTTGTAAATGTGTATTGCTATTATTAGTTGTTAATTTTTATTGGACATGGGCGCAACGCCCTATCAACCAGGCTAGAGTGCCTAATACAGGCACTCTAAACCAGGCTATCCCGGCCATACTACGATACGTGAATAATACATATAAGACCCACTAAACAAGTCAACATCTTTCCAATCCAGGCCAAATTTTAAGAAAAAAAATCATATAGCACTTTAATATTTCTTTACCTTTTTGAATATAGTGTGAAACATGAATTTGTTAAATTGCAGTCAGATCAAGTATAAATCTACTTAGTGCAAGTTCTAAGACTCAATCTCAGGAGTTTGAGGGAGTGACCTCAAATATGATAATTAATTTGTGCAGACGATATTTTAGGTTAAGAAATCAGACACGAAAAGGTACTTTTAAACGTTGAACAAATATAGCTTTTTTTTTTCTTCGAACGATTCGTATTTCTGACCCTCAAAATATAGGGGATAGCAGTAATCTGGGAAATATGGTTGCAATAGTTCGGTCATGAGAGCGGTCCCCTTAATGTGAATTTTGTCTTTTATGTTTTCGCCATAACTCAAGAACTTTTTAAGCGAATTGAAAAATCTTACATTTATAAAATTCGTTTATCCAAAGATAATTCCATGCAAAAACTAACTTTTAGTAAATTTTTATCATTTTTTATTATTTTATTTAATATTCGTCGAGAAGTTTGAATTGTAAGAATACTATTTTTTTAACATCACTTTAAAGAATACAATTTTATATGGCAAAATGCAAAATAGTTCCTGAGGAACCGAATTTTTAAAAAAATCGTTCCTTTAAAATTTAATGTCTCAAGAACTGTTAATTATGCATTTTGACACGTAAAACTATATTCTTTAAAATTACGTGAAAATCTGATCATTAAATCATAACTTATTCTGGATTGTCCGTTTTCTTTTGCATAGTGTACACAACCAAAAGCTGCAACTTTAAACACAAAATTATCAATTTTTACATATTGATGTCTTTTTTTTAGCTATGATGTAATCTATGTAATCTAAAAATTTACTCTCTTGTAGGGTTAACAGGGGCGGCTGAAAATTCTAAAAGTGGTGACTAATAGAACTCAAAATTTATTTTAAACAAATTAAAACTAGCACTTCTTACAGCATACTTTTTCCAGTTTACTAATTGAAATGAATGCTTTAAATATGAGCAATTTAAGTCATAGTGGTAGTTGCGGTTTAATAATTAACGAAATAATAAATAAATAAAAGCGAATTGAGCCACTTTTTTTAATCACCAGTAGGATACCTGATCATAAAATGAGTATATTAATATTTATATATGAAGTAGATATTTTATAAAGTTAAATGTTTAGTTTTTAAAAATTATTAAGTCACGTTTACAAGCGAGAGGATTTTCATTGCATTTCTTTACACAGGGAGGCCGCAGGTGACTAAAAATGTAAAAAGTGGTAGAAGCTCGATTCATTTTTAAATAATTATTATCTCTTTAATTATTAATCGCAACTACATCTATGACTTACATTTCAAATTATTCATATTTAAAACAGAAAACTTCGTTGTATTCACTCTCAATAGTAAACAGATAAAAATATGCTTTACAATTTGCAAATTTTAATCTGTTTTTATAATATTTTAATTTCTTTAGTCACCACTTTTTCCATCTTTTTCTTCCGAAGTAACCCTGAGGACTTGATACGAGTTTTGCTGAAGTACCCGACTTCTTCATCTGAGATGTGCTAACTGGCAACTGAGACTATTGGCATGGAATTAAAAGGTAAAACAAGGAAAATTGATGACTGGGTAGTCTTCTGCTTAGGCAGTTCATATCTGAATATGGACCCCTGAGGAATACCAGAGATGCCAACTTGCTCCGGACAGCAGATATATATTTTAAAGTGGTAATTTATCAATTGTAATTCTTGGTGTAATAAATTCAATTTAGTCGATTTTTATCCACCACTATTTCTAAATAATTCGTAGAGTTGTATAATTCACCACTTTGTGGCTCTTACGTCATGCTGTACCTTTTAAAAAGCAAGCAGAAATAT